TGAGTTGACATGAAACTCACATTTTTCGGCTTTCACAAACAAATGATTAGCCAGGAGTCTTTGAAGAACAAGATGAACATGGTTAACATGAGTATTCTCATCTGGAGAAAAGATGAGAATATCATCGAGGTACACAAAACAGAAAACATTCAGGAAATCTCTTAACACATCGTTAATGAGAGCTTGGAAAACAGCAGGTGCATTACAAAGTCCAAAAGGCATCACCAAATATTCGTAATGTCCCGTAGGTGTATTGAAACCTGTTTTCCACTCATCCCCCTCCCGGATGCGCACAAGGTGATAAGCATTCCTTAGGTCAAGCTTGGTAAATATCTTAGCTCCCTGTAATAGTTCAAATGCCGTAGAGATGAGTGGAAGGGGATATCTGTTCTTGACCGTGATCTGATTTAGCGGACTATAATCAATACAGGGCCTCAATGTCCCGTCCTTTTTTCCCACAAAAAAGAAACCTGCCGCTGCTGGGGATGAAGATGTCCGAATCAACCCAGTCTTGAGTGAAGAATCGATATATGCCTTCATGGCCTCCCTTTCTGGCCCAGAAAGAGAGTACAGCCGTCCCTTGGGAATAGTAGAGCCCGACAGAAGTTCTATGGGACAATCGTACGGTCTATGGGGAGGCAATGAAGTAGCTCGTGTTTTGTTAAACACCTCCTTAATGTCTGAATAGCAACCAGGAACTTTAGACAAGTCAGGAAAGTCAGAAGGTTTAGAACAAATGTCACTGCTATTACCTGACCCCTGCTTAAAGTTACTAGGTCTGCTACTCAACCCTGTTTCACTGGTTAAACATGAACGAGAGCACTCAACCCCCCACCCTTTCACCTTTCCTGTCTGCCAGTCAACGTGAGGGTTGTGTTTAACAAGCCATGGGTACCCCAAAATGAGAGGATGTTGAGCAGAGTTAAATAAGTGAAAACTAATTTGCTCTCGATGTTCCTGATCTACGACTAATACCATGGGCTCAGTGCGATGAGTAACTGTACATAAAAGGCGGCCGTCCAAAGCACTAGCCTCTAAGGGCTGATCTAAAAGTACAACCTTTAAATTCAAACTCTTAGCTAGCTCCCAGTCTAACAAACTCTCATCAGCCCCAGAATCGACTAATGCATCCTGAGTCACAGTCTTATCCCCAAGCTTGATTCGTACCTGCATTAATTTTCTGACTGGAGAGTCGAAGGAAGTCACTCGGCTCACCAGCGTCTTCCTTCCTGCTGATGAGCCTGATCTTTTGCCGAACAGGCTGCCGAAACATGACCCTGCTGGCCGCAGTAGAAGCACCGCCGCTCCCGTAGACGGCGCTGACGCTCCTCCGGCGTGAGTTTGGCTCTTCCGAGCTGCATCTGTTCCTCCGCGGCGATAGGAGGCGCTGGTCGCTCTGGAGATGAAGTCTGGGAATTCCTCTGCCAAGTGTAGTATTCCCTCGGTAACTCCCGTCTGAAAGGTGGAGTGGATACTGCATTCCTTCCCTTTTCCCGCTGTCTATCAGCTAGACGTTGATCAACCCGGATAGCCATGGCGATGAGCGAGTCCAAATCTTCAGGCAGCTGTAATGGAGCTAACTGATCCTTTATGGGATCCGCTAACCCATGCAGGAAAGCATCAAAGAGAGCCGCCGAGTTCCACCCACTCTCCGCTGCCAGAGTACGGAAATCAATTGCGTAATCCGCCACTCTCCTCTGCCGCTGTTTAATGTTCACCAGGGCTCTCGCTGACTCTCTCCCGGGTGATATCTGATCAAAGATCTTGCTCATGGTATCCAAGAACAGTTCCAATGACTGACAAACAGGCGAGCACCGGGACCACTCCGCTGTTGCCCAGGCTTCCGCTCTACCCGTCAGATGAGAGACAATAAAAGCTACTTTAGCTTGATCGGTGGGAAATGCTGCGGGCTGGTGTTTGAAGTGGAGATCGCACTGTACCAGGAAGGGACGACAGTTTCCAGAGTCTCCGGAGAATCTCTCCGGCGAAGCGAGACGGATCGTAGGTGACTGCATGGGTACTTGAACGGGGATATCAGCAGACCCGACCCCCGCTGAACCGGAAAACTCTGCCGCAGGAACACCAGGGTTTGCCACGAGGTGAGTCAGTATGTCCCGCATCTTTTCAGCCAGTAGATTTATTTCTGTCGTCACCGTAACTTGAAAGTTGTCTTGACGAGCATGTAAATCCTGGACCCCTTGGTTGATTGCTGACAGCTGTCCCTCATGTTGATGAAGGCGTGTACCCTGCGCCTGCAGGGCCGTTCTGACTGTAGTGGAATCGGCTGAGTCCATCTTGTTTGGTTGGTTGGTTCTGACACGAAGGGCTCTTTAAGAACTCAGATGCTCGATTCCTTTGCTTTGGTAATAGTCTTTATTTATAAAGATCACAAAGCTTTTCAATAGTCTTCTAGGATCTACTAGGACATTTCCAAAGAATCCTTAGGTTCAACTAGGTATTTACAAAGTCTCTGGTAACAGCATGGATATCATGAAGAGACAAGACGAACCAACACAAGACAAAGGGAGAGAAGGACTATATATACACACACACACACATTAGGTAATGAGGCACAGGTGGACCCAATCAGGGGCGGGAACAACAATCAGTCTGACCGGTGACACACAAAGACAGGAAGTGCAGACACCTGGAAAGATAGAGCAGAGTCATGTCACAATAAGACAGATAGACAAACACTAAAACCTTACACAAACAAAGGCAAATGGGAAAAAACCTTCATGTTAGCCTTCTAGTATTAATCATACTGTACTGTACGTCTGATGGTTCAGATAGCTCGGATGAACAAATAAACTAAAACGTTTGTCTAAATGCCAGATTCATGCAGTTTCATGTAAATAAAATCCACTATTTACTCAAAAGGAATCAATAGGATCTTGCCTGGAAGGTCTCTTAATATATTTTTTATTGGATAACTCTCCTCTCCATGCAATCCATACGAATAACAAACTTAGCCTACATTTCCATTTATATGGTATTACTACAAGGTGATCAAATTGATCAGTGGTAATCTTCTTGGAATGATTTCAGAACAACGGGACGCTTTCCTGTTATTCCCATTCTGCCAAAATGCTGTAAATATAGCATTGCACTGCAGCGAGATCACAATGTGTCTCTTACTGCATACATTGTGACACATAATCAACGAAGGACCGACAAGATAGTAATGTATGTATTGTTGTTTGAGGGGTACGTTCTATCTACTTGGGCCAGCTCTGTTTTAACTTGCGAAGGTGCGGTGAGATTCTCATGCATGTGTTAGCATAATGAAGCTGTTTAAGAACAAAACACCACCGCCTGTCACATGGATCACTGATCCTAACAGGATAACTGAGACCCTGGAGAGGAGATTTATTCAAAAATATAAGAAAAAGGCTTTTAAGAGGACAAAAGGATCGAACCATTAATACCTGATGAAAAGCACCAGTCCATTCATCCTCTGTATCACCCTGTCAGAGTCTCGGCAACCTAATGAAGGACATTACCGCCACCACCTGCAGAGATGCCGTCGCACCCTGGGATTCAAACAAGCTCACAGCATCCTTTTGTATTACGCTCTGTATATTCTTTGATGGAAGAGCCATTAGTGGTACACAATAATAGCCTAATACTGTGCCATTTTCAATCAATGCAGCAAAAAATAGTAAAACAGCTCAGTGTTCCTGTAGCAATAACCAAGATAATTTCTAAAAATGATGGTTCAAAGTCACATTTATCCAGTGATATGTTTGCCTCATCACAGTTTTGGCAGGAGAACCTCCAGCAGGAGCCAAAAGCTGTGTTTTATTATGAATGAGTGGCGGTGTGTCCCCGCACGCCCTGTTTTAATTGACACAGTCAAGCAGCTTTGATGTGTGAGGCGTTGTGGTGGCAGAGAGAGACGGGCTCATCTACCATGTGTGGGGAACAGCGGGGGCGAAGCGCGGGCAGAGGAGGGCTGAGGATGTCAACAAATCAAACGCCCCCTTCATTTTTTCAGACAGGGGGAAACCCCTAGAAAACATTCCATCAGACGACAGAGCTTCCAGATGACATTACATGTAATTTGTTAGATGCTTTATCCAAAGCGTCTTACATACATTCAGTACTGAGGACAATCCCCACAGGAGCAATTTGGGGAGAAGTGTCTTGCCCAGGGACACAACGACATGCTGACTGCAGTGGGACTCGAACTTGCTACCCCCTGATTCAAAGTCCAGCTCACTATTCACTGAGCCACAGCCTCCATCAAACGATTTTTAGTTGGGTGTCTGAATCAGTTGCAAGTGCTGTAGCATTAAGAGGTATTCAAGGTCAAACAGGTCACACACTAACCACATTTTAAGTGGGAGGCATGAAGAAAGAGGAAAATAAACGTCTACCTCACATCTACAGTCAGGATTAAATCGGAAGTGATTGTTTAATTAAAAGAGTTTGGCCAGGGCAGGACGATCCTTTGTACCCAATCGGCGATGCAAATCCACAGATTTAAAGAGTTTTCTGGAAATTAGTACAACCCCCTGACATGTTATTTATGGTTTGAAAGTGCTGACAATTGAAAGTTTGCAAAAGCCGGTTTCTTTTCAACTAATAGAAAACTGCCTTACCACAATTGAAAAATCCTGCCAGCATGCTGCATTCAAACACTTTCGCACAAATCCGGGACTAATAAATATTTCCCTACCTTCCTAATTAGTTTTTACTGCGAACTAATTGCAAATCCTGTCAAAATATCATCACTTTTCCCCTCATTATTTCCAGATCTACCATTTAATAGGAGTGAGTCTCTCATTTTGGTCTCAACCCTTATCTTTTTTACGAGCGAACATATCTCAGGCACTATTTTATGGTCATCTGGCATCCAGAATTTCATGTAATGATGTAACTTCTGCTACTTATACACCTGGGACTAGATGATACGATATTAAATACAGTATATTCCCTGTTAGCCCAACAGCTAAAGTGATAAATGTGTGATGAATGTTGTCTGTTGTCTCTCGCAGGTTGTCCGACAACATGGGATGATATCCGTTGCTGGAATCGTGCTGAGGTGGGACAGGTGGTCAGCGTCTCATGCGCCAATGTCTCCCAGCTGTTTGCTAATAACCAAGGTAAATACAAAAAAATTAAATGTAGGATGTTATTATTGTACTTATGTTGTGTACTTTTTAAGGGGATCTTTGTTATATTATCTTGTATTATTTTATGCATATGCCTCTAACTGTTTTATGTTAGTTTGATGCTTTTGAGGAATTCTAATTGTCATACATTGAAATTATGTTTTGTTTTTCAGAATTATTTATATTTATATTAGCAATCCTGCCAACAGCCAAGCTGAACATATTATTTCCCCTTGTACAGTACAAGTGCTCAGCTCTATTTTTCAACAATATTATCTGTTTTAAGGCCATGTTGAATTTTGGGTTTGTCAAACTGGAGAAAAGAGTGGGATTTAGCTTTTTTAGGATAATGAACTTGTGCAGTTAATCCATTTTTCACTTCCAGATCAGCAGGGTATATTTATATATCAGTTGGGGCCGATGTTATGCTTTCACTGAGTGGTTTATGTAAACTGGATCTTTTTTTTCTGGACTTGGCTGCAGACAGCGCTGCTCTCTCCACTGTTTTCACGACCCCCAACCTTTTCAGACCACAGTCTCATCCAGCTGGCTGGACTAAAGACAACAAAAACATATTTTCTCATGTATCATCAGATGGCCGACAGAGAGAAATAGATATAAAAAAACATGTTTCTGGACTATTGGGAGACAAATGAGGGCAGAAAAGTCTGTGAATTGTCGCAAACCGACCCTGTGGAAATGCAGAGGAGTGGAATAAGAGCCAGTAAAAAAGTATTCATTCATCTACTCAAGCGTAAAATAAAAAATAGTGTGACTACTGTACGTAACTTAAGACTAGTAAGTTGTTTTTAAGTTAAGATTAGAAAAGATAAGATCGTACTTTATTGATCCCAATTTGGGAAATTGTTTATTGTTTAAACAAATAAAAAAACTGATTTTAATCCAATTATAGTACACTTATACATAAGTATACCCAGCTAGAAATGTTTGGTTCTAAAAACATTCTGAGAATGTTACCATTCACTGTTCTAGGAATGTTTTCAGCGGGAAGTTTTCTTTTGGTTCCCAGAATGTTCTTCTGAAAGGTAGGATAACGTTCTCTAAAAACATTCTTAAAATGTTTGGTGATAACATCCTTAAGATGTTTTTGATAACCTTCTTAAGATGTTTTTGATAACATTGTTGCCCTACTATTCTTAAAACGTTTTCAGCGGGACGTTTTATTTTGGTTCCCAGAATGTTCTTCTGAAAGGTAGGATAACGTTCTCTAAAAACATTCTTAAAATATTTTGTGATGACCTTCAAATGTTTTTGATAACATTGTTAGAACATTATGCCCTACTGTTCTTAAAACGTTTTCAGCGGGACGTTTTATTTTGGTTCCCAGAATGTTCTTCTGAAAGGTAGGATAACTTTCTCTAAAAACATTCTTAAAATGCTTGGTAATAACCTTTTTTAATTGTTTTTGATAACATTGTTAGAACATTATGCCCTACTATTCTTAAAACGTTTTCAGCTGCAAGTTACATTTTTTTATGTTGCCAGAATGTTATTATTTTAGAGTAGGATAACGTGCTTTATCGTTCAAATCTATCAGAAGTCCTTTTTTTTAAATGCGACAAGCGGCTAGTACAAGTCACTGTCGGTGTCACATGTACTGGAGGGGACCCAGAATCAGACTCGGAATCAGCTGGTGAAAGTAACATTTGTTTATTAGAAAAGGGGAGCTGGGAGTGGAGGTTAGTTATGGCGGCAGTGGGAAACAGTTGTTCCAGGGTGGGTAGAGAGGCCTGGCTGGTCTTGGGAGTGTGGAAGGCCTTGGATTCCTCCAGAGACAAACAAATGAGTGTGAGGCAAAAGCAGGCAAAGTTGTCAAAGAATATGCTGGTAAAAAGCTAGAGTGGCACACAACAAACCGTTCACGGCAACAATCCGGCAGGGAATGAGTGCAGGCTGCAGGCTTTCATAGTGTGGCTGATGAGCAGGTTGCAGGTGTGGTTGATTGGAGATTGCTCCCAGCCGTGTAGAGCAGACCAGCAGGCAGGGGAGGGAGAGAGAGACACACAGTAGAAACAAACACATACAAACACTAACAGGGGTTTCACGGACGGGCAGTGACAGTCGGTCCGTTCTTCTATATGTCTGTTGGTCTCAAATCTAAAGGGTGCAATAACGATTTTTATCCAATATGCATAAACAGCAGACACTGTTTATACGCAGCCCTCAAAAACCACACACGGCCAGATAGCTTATCTAACAGTTAGAACCTACATACGAGGCACAACCTATATAGTCAGAAAAAAGTGTGATTATTTTCTGATATTTTACACATATGATATTATGAATACTGTGGGCCTACATACCTTAGTGTGATTATAAGTGCATGTGAGTGCATTTTGGCATGCAAATTCGTTTTTATACGTCCTATTCATTGTCTCAATGCGCTCATACATCTTAAGAAGTTTATCACCAAAAATGTTAAGAATGTTTTTAGAGAACGTTATCCTACCTTTCAGAAGAACATTCTGGGAACCAAAATAAAACGTCCCGCTGAAAACGTTTTAAGAACAGTAGGGCATAATGTTCTAACAATGTTATCAAAAACATCTTAAGAAGGTTATCAAAAACATCTTAAGAAGGTTATCAAAAACATCTTAAGAAGGTTATCACCTAGCATTTCAAGAATGTTTTTAAAGAACGTTTCCTACCTTTCAGAAGAACATTCTGCGAACCAAAATAAAACGTCCCGCTGAAAACATTCCTAGAACAATGAATGGTAACAAACATTTCTAGCTGGGAACTCACACATGCCACCGCAAACATGCAATATCTGCTTACAGCTTATCATGAATTACGTACTTGTTTGTTTTTTTCAAAAGGAAAATATGGTGACATCAGATTTTTTTAAAACATCCTTTTCAAACAAATGCAACAAGTTGTTTTTTTAAAGTGCTCTAGCAAAAAATCTGATGTTGACCATGACCTGTTAATATTTGCCATCACAGGAACGTTTTATAAAAAAATAATAACATCCTGAAAACATTAAAGGAACATTTTATAAAACACTTTCTGTCATCTCAGGCCTCAATAACATCCTGAAAACATTTTCAGAATGTTTCTTGGAGAATGTTCTTCATTTGTTATCATGTAACATTGAGGGAACGTTTCATAAAGAACATCTTTAATGTGTTACCCCAACAACGTCCAAAACACATCCTTAGAATGTTGCAGGCAAAACGTTCCACCTTTGTTAACATATCACATTAAAGGAACATTTTATAAAAAGACTTTCTGTCATCTCAGGCCTGAATAACATCCTCAAAACATCCTCTGAATGTTGCAGTTAAAACGTTATGTCTTAGTTAACCTTAAACCTTATAGGAACATTATTTGAAATAATAAACATCCTAAAAAGGTTCTTTGAACATCAGATTAAAACGTTTCTTTAAAACATTATTAGAACCTGTAGGTAATGTTAGCCAAAGTTGTGAGAACGTTCTCCGCTAGCTGGGTAACTTGTTCTCTAAAAAACCTATTTAATTCGTTTTACATCAAAATGTGCATTCATGTGCAGGATCTTCAGGCAACAGGACACGATTTTATATTAGAAGCATTCTGGTTTTCATTTTCAATCCAATCAGTATTGACCAATCACGTTTGAGTGGGCTTTAGCTGAATGCAGGTAAACCAAAAGGGAACTTTCGAGTTAAAATTAAATCAATGGAACCATCAGCTATCTGTCTGACAACAATTGAGCTTCAATTAGCTAGACATTAGCTTGTAAACCAGCTATCTGATCGCCTTTCAAATCCAGCTCCAGTCTTAAATGTCAGGTTTCTAATCAGACATAAAAACCTATTGCCTGATGCATGGAAAGTATATCTGCGGGTTACACCCCAGAAACACAGCCCATTGCCCCCCGTGTTTTATCTTCAGACCAATAGCTCATGAGTTCTGAGATGGAAAGATCATGATCTGGTTTATTAACTAACGTATTTTTGTTGCCTAAAATCGGAAATTAGGATGTGAGTCATGGTCTCCATCTTAAATTGTGTACTATCTATTGCAGAAGCGATAGTCAAAATAATGTTATGGGGTATATGATTTAATACAATGAAAAATGTCTTAATTTTAAGAAAATGGGGTTTAATATTGATATTTAAGCCTCAATAAGCCATCATCCATTTGGCTCTAGTATATATAAATCTTATATATATATATATATACATAATTGTCTTTATTCCAGTCCTACCAGTAGTTCCAAGTCAGTGTTGGTGAAAAAAAGTTCACAGAATAGTCAGTAGTAGGCACAGAGCATGTGCAGTATGTCGGATGATGGATGAAGAAATTATGCTGATTCCAACAGCAGTGAGAGTAAAATACACACACAGTAGTGAAAGTTAGACGTATACTCAACATGGTTCAGAACACTTAAGGAGGCAGGGGTTGCCGTTGACGACCTCATAACTCAATACTAGTGGGTTCTTGGACCCCACTGGATTCCCGCCTCCACAGACACCCTGATAAGTTAAATCACTGTAGCGGTGGAGTTCGATCCAGTCCATCCAACAGGAGGCTGCATGCAGAGAAAAAACTGAATTGGAAAATCAAAGAGTTCACTGTAAGAGCCAAGAGCATGAGGAAGGAATTGGCGCTGCTTGTTAAGCATGGCGGTCGGAGCACTAGCGCCCTCCCGGGAGCCCCAAGCCTTTAACCTCCATTCACATCCAGCGTTGGCTGCGGGCCTGCAGGCTCTACACGCTACGTTATACTGAGGCTAATGCAGCTGGTTATCTGTAAACCCACCCACGACTCAAACCCCCACACTCTGCTCGCTCTGTGGTGCTAAAGGAACCGGACAGGCATTTTCTCAGCAAGAAACTAAAATCTGTAATTTCACTGAGAACTTTTCATCCTCTGTCTTGTAAACACGGATTCACAAAGAAAACTGGATGACCTTGTGTGCGTCATGAATGCAGTGGAGCTCGGTGAGATGAGTGAGCGCGTCATGCTAACTGCAGGCCATGGTG